TTTATATTATAGTGTTATTAGATAAAAACTAGGATAATGCATTACCCATATAACTTTCACCATGTAACTTTCTACATGTTATAAATATGATAATTCTAAACCTTTAGGTATTTTTCTGAAAATATTTTTCCAGATAGTTTAAAAACTACATTATTTTAATTATCTATAAAATAATTTAATTCAAAAAATTATATTGTAGTACTATTAAAGCTTCAAAATAATATTCTGAATAAACCCTAGTAATCTAGTAATATTTTAAAATTATGAAATTTCTGCTCAGCAAATAGTTTTGTAGCCTACCATTAAAGCATTCTATGAAATTTTCAAACTAGTTTATTTATATTTATTTTAGTACTATAATGCAATAATATATATGCTTACCTTCTTATGTTGTGTGATTCTGAGAAGATCCTATATATGGTGGAAGTTTTGATTAAAATTTTAGTGATAAATACACAAGGGGTCATATGGGCCTAAAATTTTGAATTTTTTATATATGCATAACATTGGGAATAATAAGGACATTTTTTCTGATATGCTAGTATAGGGAGCCATAAGGGCCTATTTTTAATGGAAAGTATAAAGAGTCTAAGAGAAATCAATTATTTTTTTTTTCTTTGATATATAAAGTGTTTGTTTATTTACTTTCAGTGCTCAGTCTGCTTCAGTTCAAATATTTGCAATTAAAATCATACTTAGTCCAAAACATTTCTTATGAATTGATTTTATATTTACTTAAATGCTAAATAAGTAAATTATTTAAATTTTAGGTTAGTGAGTGTGACCTATTAAGCTGCCTTGGTTCACACATATTCTATATTCTGTTTTAAGTTAAAAAAAGTTAAAGATCCAGTTAAGTAGTTGAACATTCATGATTTGATTTATCTGAATTTATATAAGTATTTTCTTGATTTTGTATAATCATGATTATTTATTTTATTTCTCTATTCTTGTTTGTATATCTTGTATTGTATTGTAAGTAATATATATATATATATATATATATATCAATTGAAAGGAAATTGGTGAATGAGAGTATTTCATTATATTTATTAAAGCTAATTAGAAGCTTTATAGTTTGTATAAATTAATAGATGAAATTTGATTAGTCCCCTGAAACTTAGATTATAGGTTAGCTTATCACAATTTAACATGAAATGACTTGACGATTGGTGGGTCATATCAGGTTAGATTGTGATAGTCCCTTTTTTGTATCAGAATAATAGTTTTGGGGAGACCGTTTGTAAAACAGAGTTATAGGAAATTATCTATAATTGAGTAAGGTAGTTTTAGGTAATGTTTGAGCATTTATTTTTTCTTGTTTTCATGTGCATGTTTGCTTAGTTGTGTGTCTTGTGTGATTTTCTGATGGATCCAATGTACCCAAACATGATAGAAGGGTAGAGTGTCAATTCTGCAGCACCAATACATAATACTACTATTATTGTTAGTTCTAATTCAATTTAATAATTTTTCAGTCTAGTAGCCCAACTGATGGGTGAGGCTTAGAGTAGGATTTTCTCTATCCTATCTGACATTATAGATAGGAACTTATAGATGTTTTTGAGGTTAAAGCCTTCGAGGTTCGATGACACTATTGAGCCAGTAGAAGACAAGTTGATGAGGCTAGAAAAGACTTTCTATTAGATACAATGAACTCTTAAAAGGAATGAATTATTAGTTAATTTTTTAGATGGTGAAGAGGAGCGTTGGTGGTTGGGGTTTTAACAAAAGGAGAAGTTTTGGGGAGCTTGAACTCTTTGATCTGTTAGGAAGAGTATATAAATATTATTTGGGGATGATTTGTACCTCCTTCTACATGATAGCATATACATGAAACTTTTTTTAGGCTTATTCAAGGGAGTAGTATAATCATGTAGTATGAAATAGAGTTTAGTACTCTAGCCATGTATACTCTACAGTTAATTAGCATTCTGAGAAAAAGTGTTATAGATTTCTAAGAGGGCTTCAAAATAGTTGAGGCAGTCATTAGTTTTGTTTCATATTATTGATTTATCTGAGTTGGTGCAGAGAGCCCATCTAAATGAAAATGATTTATTATCTAATCAATAGTGTTGGGCTGCTAGTACTGGCAATAATATGGCCAGCTCTGATGGTTCTAGGAGTTTAGATTAGTGGGGAACCTATGTGCTAAAGTTTTGCATGAGACACCTCGATTAGTTCTATAACATGATAAGATAATTTTTTGATGTGTTTAGATTGGACCATAGTACCTAACTATCCGCATGTCATGCCCTAGAATCTAATTTAAAGAATTTTTTTAATATAATATCACACACGTGCAACTTATAGATACATAGCCTATAAAGTTAGTAATCATTATAGACGTAGAAGGGAACCAAAGAAGTTTTATATATATATATATAATCAATATTAATATCAATATTAGTATCAACAAAAATAAATCTAATAATCAAAATATCATTATACATCTGTATTAATTGTTACAAAAATTATATAAAATACTGATAAATCATATAACACATCATCCAATTATGAGTATAAAAAAATAACTAAACAAAATAATAAAATAACTTAGAGAATCCTAGTTAGTCTCACACTCCCGTTCCTCTGTCTTAACTTAAAATCATTTAAACAACATATAATAAGCTAAAAAGTTGAGCAGGTCCCTAAATCCTACAATTTCTATCTAAGAAACAATATGATAGATGGTATGGAAACTAGTAAAAATATATAATGCACAAACTAATAAACCAGTATGGGTGTCAAATCAATAAGGTAGTGTCATATCAGTAAGGTTTAATCAATAGGAAAATTGTATAAATCAGTAGAACCGAAGACTCAATAAAGACTAAAACATATCAATACAATAAAATAATATAATAGTATACGCATGCTATCAAACTCTTTTATATCAGTGTTAGTTCAATATCATAATCACATAATCAATATTGATATCAATTAATCAATATTTAGTAATAGTATCAATGAGTCAATATCAGTATCATTGAATGAATTAGTAGTAATATCATTAGTCACAGTAAAAGTAGAATAGTGCAATAACAATAAACTCATACAGTGATAGTAATTCCATATAGTGATCATAAATCCATGCAATAATAGTAAGATCATATAATAACAATAAATCAATAACATGTATTCCTATAACCACACTAAATAAGTAAAGAGTCCTTGCAAAGTGGTGTTTTCATAAATTAATAATCAATAATTATTTGCTTAATAAACAAAGTTATTACTCCTTGCATATTGGCATAGTAACAACTCCTTATAATTCTTAATTAGTGTATCACATGAACTAGTCGAGGATAACCCAAAACCATAATATTTAATGAAAAGTTTGTCGATCCACCATCTTATACAAGTCAATCAGTCTTCAACCACTATCAGTAATTCACTAGCCTTTGCTTATTTTCACACATTATTATCATTAACATTATTATTACTCAATCACATACACATTTGCAATCACAATGCTTGTATTAAAAATATAATTAAATAAAAAATACTAAAATTTATATTTAGTACATATCTTTCAAAATATAACAACTCCCATTTTACTTGATAAAATTACATAATCAACCAATCAAAATGTCCAAAATAATCAATACAGCAATATATAAAAAGTTACATGATAGAAGTTCACTAAATATAAGAAATATATAATAAATTCATTTTAAATAAATTAAATTGTTGAAATTAAATTCTTTTAAAACATATATAAGATTTACCTACCTCAATATGAGAAATTTTTATAAAAACAGTGAAATGGTTTGGTGACCAAAAATCAAGATTTCTATTTTCGCTCTCCTCCTTTCCTTGAACTGAATAGATAAATATTAGGCCAGGGTTTTGTTTTTTTGTTTTGTTTTTGTTTTTTTAATTTTAAGAGGCAGCCTCTAAAACCTGAGGTGAGGCACGCCTCAGTAAACTTGAGGTGTATGTCTCATTCCCTGCTCTCATTGCGTTGGCTTTGAGGCTTAAATGAACAAAATTGCGCTAAGGTACGCCTCTTATTGCACAATTTTAAACCATGGTTATAAATATTAATACGTCTTGTTCTATCAGAGTTTCTAAAATAATACCAAGGTATTTGAGATTGGAAGTTAGTTTTTTCTTAATGAAATAATGTTAGTCAATCCAAGTGTTGATAATCTTGACAAAATATTAAAAATGAATGATTCAAATATTTGTTTGATAAAATTTAAATATCATAATTGCATTAAAATAATTGTTTATATTCTTAAATAATGTTTGTTAAGCTTTTTTCCTGACAAGAAAATCAAAATTAAAGCAATATATAATTTGCCATATGAAATAAAAAAATGAACTATTTATACACAAGAAAAATTAATATATTTATAATTTAATAAAATAAAATAAAATATAGAATTCATGTATTTTTAATTATTATAATCAATTTTTTAGAAAATTAACTGAAAATTACAAAGAAAGATTTTATTACGAAAAATTAACTGAATAATTATAATTAAATTTTTAGTATGAATATTAATTATAATAGAAAAAAAGAGAGATATAATAGTTATGCAAATAGATAAGATAACAAGGTTTGAGTAAGGGAAGAAATAGTCCAAAAATAAAACGTATAAAACCAAATCAAACATTGCAGCCCTCGTCTTCGCGGAGAATTTTTATTGCGTCCTCCCACCTGACATAGAGATACGTCCTCCCACCGCCAAAAAACTCGGTTTTTGCTCGGTATTGCTAGGCATTATTTGATAATAACGAGGAATATCATTATGTGAAGACAAATACTGAGTTATACCGAGCTGTACCGAGCAATACCGAGCAATACAAAAAAATACCGAGTTCTTTCTAGGAAAAATTAGGTATTTTTTGTATTTCTCGGTATAGTTCGGTATAGCTCGGTATAACTCGGTATTGATCTTCACATGATAATACTCCTCGTTATTATTTGGTATTACTCGGTATTTCTAGTTTTTTAGAGCCAATTTTATAGAGGAAGCAATAAACATTCCTTTATGTATTGGCTCAGACGTGTACGTCGCTCGACCGCACTCATTTTCTCTGGCTCTTCTTTACCGCCAGATAGTCCGTTTTTGTGTGAGACAGAAACCTTTGATTGAAAAAAATGGCTGTTTCGACATCTATCAAAGCATGGGAAACTGTGTTCGTAGCGTTGGGTTGCTTCATGCTGGCAACACTTGTGTACACGATCATCACGGATGGATCGCCTTTCCGTAGCGAGCTCCTTACGCCGTAAGTTTCTCTGAAACTAAGCGAAATATTTTAATTGGTCATTTTGGATATAGTTGATGGATTGGCGCAATGGCTTGTGGTCTCTGGGTTTTCAACGGTCTGGAACTTGATGTATTTGTTGTCTTTAACTTGGGGGTGTGCTTGGTTTTGGGGTATGGAGCCCTAAGGGAAGTCTCTAATGGTCAAGTCGGTAATCGAGCATGTGAAAAAAACCAATTGATTGAGCCAAAAAAATGGTGGTTCTGTGGACGCACTCAGCTCTGATTCAGAGTCTAGCGTGAATGGACTCTTCCAGGCTTTGAACTCTTTAGCGCTCATTGTGCTGTGAAGTGGCTTTAATAACTGGGGAGAATGAGTGAAAATTGACTTTTGAAACTCTATGGCTGTATTCGGGGTGGTATTGGCATTAAGAATGATTTATGGGGATGTCATCTTGTGGTCATGCTTATGCTAATTTGGCGCCACTATCAGGATATGTACAGTTCTGGTCTTGATCTGTAATTCGCTTGCATCTTGATGAACTGGCTTTTTTCCGGACAAAACTTGGATCAACTTGTTTGAACCTACCCTAACTTGTCCACCTAGTGATGGTGGTGGGTAGCTAGGTGGTGGGTAGCCTTTTGGTGCGATTAATATTTAAAAAGTATTTTAAATCTTTACTTTACTATTTAAGAAAGTGTTATGTAGTTTGTGGTAGAATTGTGAGGGATTTAAAGAGGTATACTGGTAGGAATGTCAAGATTAGTATAATTTGGACTGATTTCGAAGATTACATTAAAATGTGAGTTTTATGAGGTAAATGTTGAAAAGATGGTAATGTGTTAGCTTAGAACTCAAACTTATGATCCGGAGTTGTTGGTAGAATTTATTAGATTTTAAGAAAATGTCAAGGTATAGAGGATACTAGGTCATAGTGTTTCTTAGTTTGATTGAGAGCTCTATGGAAGAGTTTATTATGATTTTAAGTTTTTATATAGAAATTACATGAGAAACATGTTATAATCTTGTGTCAAATAATTTTTATGAAGTCTTCCAAAGGTATAAAACAAATTTAATATCATCATAAGAAATAGTAGTTGAAGGAAAGCCACAGTGACAGATAATTTTCTTAACGAATAGTATAGCAATATGAGAAGCATCATTGTTTTTTGAGAAGGGAAGAAAATGAGTCATTTTGGAGAACCTGTCAACTTCTATATATATTCTATTATCTCTTCAGGCTATATGAGGTAATGATAAGATAAAATCAATCAAGAGATTTTCCCAAAGCCTAAAAGGGATGTGCAAAACAATATGATGACCTGACTTCTATTTTGTGGCTTTGGCTTATTTGAAACGTCTATTGATTATTCATTAATGTATAATAATTTCTCCAGGTATAGATCACATTCTTGACTTGGATTTAGTTTTTGAAATAAAAACTCTATTATCAAACAACTTCAGCTTGAATGAATTTAACAGAAGCTAATGTCTTTCTTGATGTTAAAATCATTAAAAATAAAAACAGCATTACAATTCTTAATCTCATATGTAGAGAAATTACATGAGAAACTTAGTTATTTTGATGTTTATCTTGTTCAAAATTTTAAAGACACCAGATGATTCTTGATTATATTTTGGCGGTGGTAGCATATCTCAATTATAATATGCACAAATTATATGGTGTTTCAATGCAGCGATGTCATAGCTCATGATATGGGATTTGCTGAGTGAATATGCAAAGAATTTTAATACTAATGAGAAGGCATTATTACTTCTTTGACAATATTAAGAGCTTTATAATGATACTTGTTAGGTTATTCACAATTGTAATGCAAAGCCACAAGAGGCAATGAAATTATATTTAATAATGGTATGTCAAGATATGTACTGATGTACTGATTTTGTTTGGAAGCTTAAATTCAATATATGTGATATTGCTTCTTCTAAGATCAATTTCTCAAAATTTTATTATCATGCTTAGATTAAAAATATGTGCTAATAATTGTAATATGTTGTGGAAATAAGCTATTGTAAAAAAAATAAATCATTCTATATTTTGTGAAATAAGACACATACGAGTTTTTCATGATTTATTGATGCTTTCAAAGCAGGAATGCTACTTATTATTTACTTATATTAAAAAAAAAAGTGAATGCTTTGGCAAAAGAATTATGAAAAATACTTTTAATAATTCATCCGAGAGGATGGGTCCAAAGCTCACAAAAATATAATCATCTACAATGGATACCTGTCCTCCCAATTAGGAACACTGTGATAGGAAGTTTTATGCGGTTAAAACAAAACTCTAATAATGATTGGAAGGAGCAAAAAATAAAGTTTTTCTCGTTGCCATTTCTAAAAGATTATTGTGTTGTGTTTGAACGAAAAAAAGGATGAATTTTTACTCTTGGTTAGAATTAAAACCATTATTTTAAAAGGTTTGATATTGTGTTGTAACTTGGATATTCCACTTAAGAGTTGCAGTATAGCTCGCTGCTATGGGATCTTGGAATATATACTATAAAACACTCATGAAATTGTGATAGAGATGCAATGTCTATAATTTTCCCATGAATGGAATCTAAAGCTTGCTTCAAATCATGAATGTTCCTGACATAGAATGAATGAATAGGCAGTTCAAAAGTACGGTTCTATGGTTCATGTTTGTACAAAAATCTAGAATCCTAGTTGATACAAGCAAAAATAAGGAAAAACCCCAATTTTTGCAAGCAAAGAGAATACACCTCCTAGGATATAGAAAATACAGAAAATTTCAAATAAACTAGGACACCTTCCAAAATACCACAAAATTAATAAAATACAACCATTAAACGAAAAAACAACTTCACTTTTATAATAGAAAGACACTTACAAATGACACTTACAAACTTTTAAATAAAAGCTCCTAAAGTTGCATCCCTTAATCAAGAAGAAAGGTACAGATGACGTTGAGCTTGCGGAGAGAAGAAAGAGGTTAGAAGACGAGATGAAGGGAGGACAAGCTCGCAAGCTTTTCTAGAAGAAGAGAGAAGAAGTGGAACAAGCTCTCAAGATTTTATAAGAATACCTCAGGTTTTCATCTCCAAAAATACCTCACATAACCTCTTTTTTATTACAAAAACATCTCCAATTTATAGAAGAAAAGGGGCAGCCAAACAACCACCATAACCACTAATTAAACCCATTAAATCATGGGAAATAGAAGGCCAAAAGTTCAGTCCAGAACAACACCCAAACAACCACAAAAGGGGCCTGCATTCATTCCAAAATAGCTCCTAAACAACCACACAAAAACCAAGAAAAAACAACCACGGGACAAGCAATCAGGGGAGGAACCGAAGGGGTAGCACAGGGAACCGGGACAGCAACCAGGGGAACTTAGACGGACAGCTAGAAAACCGGGAGAAGTAGCCACTAAGGGACCGGAACAGGCAATTAAAGGGGGGAAGGAACCAGCTAAAGGAAGAAGAATCAGGAGGGGAAAATCGAAGGGACTCAAAGAGGGGGAGTAAGGGGAATGAACCAAACATAAATCCTATTTATGAGCTGAAAAAGTATTCCTAAAGACATTAATGAGCTGAATTAAGTAGATGACATAGAAGCTTACTAAAATTACAATCCCAAAAATTAGGCTCATGTTTTGACCCCCCCTTTGCCTACATCAAATTCTCCTCCGGGTGAAAATGCTCATCTCCCAATGAGTTGTCTTCAAAATTTTGGAGATCCTACATTTTAGATTTTTGAATTAGAATGTCATACTATCGTTTGATGGTTTCCTTTTCTCATTCAAATTCTGGTAGAAGTGAACTCTTCTTAGACTCGTATCTCTCAGCACATAATTGCAGTTGTTCTTGAATCTTGAGAAGTTCGATTTGTATTAGGTCTCAAGAACTTTCTTGTGGCGAGATCCATTGACTTTTAGGAATAGATTTTTCAAGTTCATTGGGCTTACTTTCTTGATTGATTTCCACTTGATGTTTATCCATCTTGACTTAAAATAAAGGAAGACCAAACAAAAACTTAGATTCACTCGACACCACAGACTCACTTAACACTCAAACAACAACCTATACTCACACAATAACCAAGACTTACACACATCACACAATAACCAAGACTTACACACAACTATAAATTCACATGACACTCAAACAACAACCTATACTCACACAATAACCAAGACTTAAACACAACTATAAATTCACATGACACTCACATACATGACACCAAGACACACACGACAACCTAGCTCTGATACCAAATTGATACAAGCAAAAATAAGAAAAAACCCCAATTTTTGCAAGCAAAGAGAATACACCTCCTAGGATATAGAAAATATAGAAAATTTCAAACAAACTAGGGAGGAACCTGGACGGACAGCCAGAAAACCGGGACAAGCAGCTACTAGGGGACCGGAACAGGCAATTAAAAGGGGGAAGGAACCTGCCACAGGAAGAAGAACCAGGAGGGGAAAACTGAAAGGACTCAAAGAGGGGGAGTAAGGGGAATGAACTAAACATAAATCTTATTTATGAGTTGGAAAAGTATTCCTAAAGACATTAATGGGCTGAATTAAGTAGAAAACATAGAAGCTTACTAAATTTACAACCCAAAAAATTAGGCTCATGTTTTGACCCCCCCTTTGTCTACATCAATAGTGATTGTTCAAACCTAAAAAAGTTCATTCACCAAATGCCATAAAATTTGGCCGACAAAAAGGAATGATATTTATATTTTAATTAGTTGATTGTACTTTAATTTTCTTGAAATCAAGTTGTCAAATTTTACATTGTATTAGTTGCAAAGTTTGACATAATTAATTCAAAATTTTGTGTTTGCTAATTTAGTTGAATGATTTCGGCTATTAAGATTTACTTGTTAACAAATTAATATTTAATTTATTATCCGTTTGATGAATTTTATTCCTTATTAATCCATGCAATATTTAAAAATTAATTTTTTTTAGTGGCCAACATCCATGTGATGATGCATGTAGCTTCAACCAAACTTTTTTTGGT